AATTTTTTTCTTGGTTCATTGTTAAGAGGAAGATGTTGGGAATTATTTGTTTGGTTGATGTATATGAGAGCGAAAGTATTTTTTTTTTTTGTGAATAGTAACATGAACAATTTTTTTGTGGTTCATGAATAAGGATGCTCTTACTTTTAAAAAAAGAAAACATTCACTTCATCTATTTCACACTTATTCTTAAGAATTTGTAAACTTCGTTGCTAAGTGATTAATTTGAGTAGTATACCAAATTTTGGACGATTTCCCTTAATAGTGTTAAAACAAAAACAAATTCCTATTTGACATTGGTTTTAAAACAAATTCCCGAAATATTATCCACGTAGGATTGGTATTGGGTTTTGTTAATTGTATTTTTGCTTCGGTATAAAACCGCTAACATCATTAATGGTTATTAGCGGTTATATGGGCTAGCAAGCAACGACTTTTTTTTTTATATATTGGGGTAGCAAACGCGGGCGATGCACGCACCATAGCTAGCGATGTTTGGGGAGTTCTTTCAGTTTGGCCTTGTGTTAAAAAATTAGGTGTTGGCATCATTAATAAGGGAAAATACATAAACAAATATTTTAGGGGTATAAATGTCCACACACTATTCTTAAGAGTTTATAAAAGAGAGGCAATTAACATTAATGAGGGTTAAATAGTAAATAAATATTTTGGAGGGTATAATTGTCCGAATAGTATTACTAAGAGTTATCTCATACTTTTTAAAAGGTTGGGAAAAAAACAAATAAAAAAGACACATGTCAATCTAGGGAACAGGTCTCTTATAATCTACATCTATAAATTTCCACGTTCTCCCCGTGACCCACCACTGCAATTTTTTTTTTCTTTTCAAAATGGGTTTTGTCATTTACTTAAGAGAGAAAGAGAATTGTTGTCATCAAAGTTAGGTCTCTTTGATTGTTTTTTAAAACTGCTAATGGCATTATTAGCGGTTTTCAGCTGAATCAAAATAGTCACTCTAAACCAATCCTATTTATTTTTGGTTTATTTTAAGACCAACGTAAATGAGGAATTTAGCATTTTTGTTTCAGTAATCTTGAGGGAAATCAACCCCAAATTTTTTAATAAGGAACTTTATTTATAAGTAAATTAAATTTTTGAGCATTTGCTCGGGGATTATCTAATAATCATATAAAACTATAAGAGCATCCACAACGAATAGCTACATTATTCCTTGTAACTTTGGACTGCCACATCATTATTGTCTAAACTACATCATTTAAGTTAGAACCTCCACAATAGCAAGCTACTACCTTTTGCAAAATAAAAAAAAGGAAAATAAATGAAAAAAAAAAAATTGCAAATAATTTATCCATTTAAAAAGGACAACATAGGCTTTGGGTGAAGTGAAACTACATAGCTTTGTAGAGTTATGTAGTTTCACCAAAACTATAACCCTTGTAACTCCACAATGATGAGCTACTAACTCAACTATTTAAAAATTGCAAGCAAGAGCCTCTTCACAACTATTGTGGATGCTCTAATAGTACAAGAATATTATTTATTTTACTATAACCCATAACAATGCAATGAATTGAGGTATAATATCGCTTCTTACAAATTGCTTTGTATAACAATATGCAGTGTTCAAAAATCGGTCGGGACTAGAAAATTGGACCAGCTCGATTTTCGAGTTGAGAAAATAATATTTTTAGTCTTTGATCCAGTATGGTCCAAAACCCTTTAAAAACTAGTCTTGGATCGAACCGATTTTTTTGCTCATTCACAAAATATGTAAAAGCGATTATGATTATTCTAAAAAAGTTAGAAAAGCCTAAATTTTATGAGCTTTTTCATATTAGATTCACAAAAGAAGACATGAATAAGTTGTTTCTCCTTTATTTTTATTTTTTTTTTGAGTTTTTCATAATATTATTAACTTTTTTGAAATATTTCAAAAAATATTCTAAGACTAGTCCAAACCACTCAGGTGCGGTCTGGGTTTGTCCTTAGCTTAACCGGTTCGGTTTTCGATTCTTGAAATTAAATTTTCCAGTCTTGGACCGGTAACAACCCTAATAATTAGGGGAGCTAAACCAAGCTTAACCGAGCCCGAATAATGTTAGGCTCAGCTCGAGCAGCTCGAAGAGCTTTAGAAAGTTAGGCTCGGCTCGAGCTCAAGACTGCAAACCCAAGTTCGACTCGGCTCAATGCTTGACTTGAGCTCTTAATTTTTTTAGTTTATTTATGCTTGGCTCAAGCTCGACTTCATCGAGCTTGATTTGAGATTTTATTTTAAACAAAATTATTTAATCGTTTTTGTGAGCAAGGCATGACAATACTTACACTTAGTTCTCATCTCTAATCCAACTTTTTTTGGTTCCTCCAAATCTTTCCATACTTTAAATATTCTCCTTCTCTTCTTCTTTAGAGGATTAGATTGAGTTTTAGATTGAGTTGTTAGCAGTCCGGTCTCACGAGTCACGAAATGAAGTGATTTAGGTTAAATGGGTTTTCAGTAGGTTTAATTTGTTCAACTCGAAATGAGTCTGGGTTAATGACAAGTTAGAACAAATACGGCTTAATTTGATTTCGGGTTGCATTATGATGGTTTGGTTTGATATAGTACGGGAAATGATTCACTAAAAATAGGGTTCAATTTCGAGTTAAATAAAATTTGGTCTGTTTGATTTAGTAAGTTCTAAACGATTTGATTCTTGCCAAAGTTGTTCAATAATAGACAATGTTTCACAACTCAAATTAGTTTTTAACAATGCTAATAATAACATACTACGTATGACGTATATTGTATTAGAGGCCTCGCAAAGGAGTGACTTAAATTTGATATGAGGTCTTACATCGATCATAAATTCATAATTTTTCTATTGAATCTTTGTTAACCAAGTTCAAAGATAAGTATTTAATCACCTCAAACCTCAAGTTGACCACCTCATGAAAGCTCATTGAAAGGTACTTTTGTTGCGTTTGAATACCGTTACTAACTTTTTTTTTTTTTTTGAATTTTCAATCTCAAATATTGCAAAGATAAATTATTAAAAGAAAAGAAAAATTAAAAAAAAAAAGAAAAAGAAAGAAAATACAGCAAATCACAAGGGAAGGTTTGACATGCAACCACCACTCACTCTACTCCACTAAACCCCACCTCTTCTAATAATTCTATCTTCACTCATTCATATATGGTCTTCCTAAACTTTCCCAAATTATCCCGCCCTATCCAAATCAAAAATCAAATCATCAACCCCTTTCTTTTTTCTATAATTAACAGAAAAATAATACCTTCTTCTCATTTTTTAAGAAATTTTATTATATTTTTGACACGTATCATTAAGAGTTAAATGTGAAAATGGAATACATTTTTTAAATTATGGTACCCATATTGATGTCGATTTGTATGACAAAATTTCGTTTTCATTAGTTTTGATCGCTAAATAAATAATGTAGTTGGTGTGTAATAAGTATGCTCGTATTAGACTATAATTTACTCACTTATTTAAACCTTATTTTTTTTAGTTGTGAATAAATTTTGAAAACCCTTATTAACCTTGATGAGAACATATTTAAAATCATCTTATTAACTTGTTTCAAAAAAAAAAAAAAAAATCATCTTATTAACTTTTATTTAACTTACTCTTGAAATAAGTAAAAATAAAATGAACATAAGTTTACATAAATAATACTCTCTCCATCTATACTTTATATCCCCATAGATATCCCTAAAGTACACTTATCATCACCTCATAAAAAAAATTCCTGCAAAAACCTTTATTTGTTATTTTTTTTTTTTTTGAATGAATTTTGTTACTATATTTCTGGAAGAAATTTGACTATATGAATAATGTGGGATGGAATGAGTAGTAATCTTTTAGTACTTGTATTATGAAGTATATCCTTGCAATGATATGTTTATTATACTTATATTAACTTTGACTATAACTTTTGAGCATTGTTTGACACTTTAACTGTGTAAAATGTTCTTAAACATAATGAATGTGAAGTATAATAATATAAACTTTTTAATAATCTTAATTGATACGAAGTATTTAATTATATAGATATACATATATGACCAAATTATGCATGGGCATATGTGCCAAATATGACCGAATCAATTAATATATACTATATGAAACGGATGGAGTATATCTTTACTGCTAGTTATGGAGTGTGTAATATTCTACTTTGTATAAATGACATTTCTACTTTTATCATATCTACTTATTGTCTATTCTCTCCTCTTAAGCTTAAGAAAAAGAAATTAATCAACAAAAATAATTTTCAGCCTCCATGTCATATTAGTTGTAATTTTTACAAAAAATGGATGCTACACATTATTTGCAACAAATGTTTCTTTTCTTTTTAGGTTATCATTTTTCTTTATCTTTCTCCTCATAACATGTATAATATTTTTTCTCTCTATTTTACACTCAAACAAATTTTGCGTAAGAATATGTGGCCCTCCAAAACCGCAAATATTATGAAACGAAGGTAGTAAGAGTAAGTTTATTGGTGAGTCTTGAGTGGAGTCTTGACTCAAGACTCACACACAAGACTTGTGTTTTTTGCAGTAATGTGGTGCAAGACTATATGTACTCTTGAGATGAGTTTTGAAATCCAAAACTCATCTTAAAACTCTACAAATTGAAAAAGAATTTTGATTTTTTTTTGTTGGCCAATGATGAGCTGCCAACTCATCAGCTCAAAATAGTTATTGATATTTTAGGAATGAGTGTTAATATTTTTTAGGAGGGTAAGTAAATTTGAAGTGAATCTTGGGATAATGTGTTAAATTGGAAAAAAGTTTAGTACGAGTCTAAATAATAAAAAATAATTTAAAATTAGTGGAAAATTAACGTGGCAAAGTTTGGTGTATGAGTCTGGATCTTGAGATAAACTTACCCTAAAATTCAATAAATAAATTTGAACACAATTAAAGTCTTTTTAAAGGACTATACATATTATTTTCATAGTTTAAAATTTTGACTACATATATAGAAATAAAGCTGGGGTTTAAGGAGTGACAGGTTTTACCCATAATACACATACGCAATACACACTATCTTCTGTTTCTTGAAATTTCCAAGATTTGCAAAACCTCAGATTCGCAAAACCTACCCACCATTCCCATAAATGCCAAAAATTCACCCTATTTTACAACCATTTTTAGAGAGAGAAATTTCTAGAGAGAGAACCAAAAAGACAGGGAGACTGCTAAAGTGAGGTGTGAAGTTTTGGAAGCATATACAGAGCGTTTATAATTAAATAATTCAGTGTGAAACTCATAAATTCAGGAAAAAAAAGAAAAATTCAATTTTTTTCACAAAATTGTAGATTCAAAGCTGAAATTATTTACCAGAGGGACAATCTACGATCTGGGTTGTCCCGAATTTTTGCGGTATTTAATTTTCTCTCTCTAAAAGTTTAATTTTCTCACTCTACCAAAATCATGCCATCGGGTGCTAAGAAGAGAAAAGCTGCCAAGAAAAAGGCGCAAAAGCAAGCCCATAACACTGATGGGTCTCACCTTCAAGGTATTTTTAATTTTGCTTAAACCCTTTATTCACATGGCTTATCTGTATGTGAGTAATCAATCAATGATTAATTTTTGCTTTTTTTTTTTTTTGCTATTTAATTGTTGGTGTTTATTGAATTTGGGTATTGGGTTTGTGTTTGTTTTTTTTTAACTGGGGGTTTATATGATGGGAATTTGATTTATGGGGTTTTTGATAAAATGATTTGAATTTTGTGTAATTTTGATTGATTTGATTGGTTTTGCTCTTGATTTTGGGAATTGGGTTGTTGGGTATTTGTTTGAATTGATTGAATTGTTTGATTTTTGTATTGAATTGAGTTTTGTGAAATGGATGAAACTATGTTAGGGATTGATGAGACGAAATCACATGATGAGAGGGAGAGTGATGGTGGTGAAGGTGAGAGAGAGTCTTCTGAGGAACGTGGTGTGAGTAAGAATGAAGAGGGTGAGCAAAATGTTGCGGAATTTTCGAAGGAGGCGAAGTTGAAGGAGAATTATGATGATGATGAGGTGAGGGTTAATGTCGAGGATGATGTTAGAGGGACTAAGAATGGGAAACATAAAAGTTCGAGCTCGAGTTCCAGTGGTAGCAGTTCTGATGATGATGAGATTGCAGTTGAAAAGGAGAAATCAGTGGTTTCTGAGGTCCAGAGCTCACTTCCAGAAGCATCCAGGGAGGATTCAGTGATTTCCGAGGTGGTCTATGGTTCGGTTGAGGAGAGTATCCCTGTTGAAGAGTCAGTTAAGCAAGTGGTTTCCTTGCCACAAGAGGTGAAGACTGAGAGTGTGAGTGCGGATGTTGAGGATCCGGTGATCACTCATGTTATTGAGTCAGAAAAAAAGCAAAACCTGGATGAAGTCTTATCAGCAGGTGAAAAACAGACAGTTTCTCCTGGAGTGACAGAATTTCTGCAAGAGAAGATTGAGAAAAAAATTATTCAAGCTCAGGAAGAGGGTCCTAGGAACCAATCTGAATCCGCAGACATCACAGCAAGAAATGGTGAAGGTTTGCCACAGTCTTCTGGTGTAACGTCTGCGGATGCTTGTTTTGAGGATAATCATGTGAAAGAATCAGAGACGCAGAAATATGTTGAGGAACAGGTATAGTGAGCTTTCTTATTTGCCTGCTTAGCAATGAATGAAATATCTTTCTTTAACATGTCCACCTTTACTAAAACCTTCATTTTGCAGCCTTTGGCACCTTCTGCTCCACTGCCAGTTCGACGAACCTCCTTGATGAATTGCTGTGGGCTTCTTGAAGTTTTCTCAGGTGGTGCCAGTAGATAAATTTAGGTGAGAACCCAGTTTTCTTGATTCCTTTTTTTCTCTAATTTTTGTTTGAATTAGGCATGGCTACACAAATCTTCATTACTGACATTGTGATGTTGATGCAAAAAACCCTTTTTGTCTCTTTCATTGTACTTTTATACTATCATTTAAATTACTTAAATTGGATTTAATAGGTGTTATGTGCTCATGTCAGCATCTTTTTTTGGCAGTACTCATTTCAGCAGTTGATGCCTTGTTTATGGTTCAAAAGAAACCTTATGGTGAATTTAGCTTTCTTATACAGTTTTTATTGTGAAAATTGTTTGTTGGATTTAATTTCCTGTTGGTTAAGGTGGGGTGGTGGGGTACCCATGTCTCATTCACTACCCTGCTGCCTGAAATTATAAGGATTTGAGCAGACACAAAAAGATAGTTTACGCATGATAAAATTTTAGCCAAGTTACCCAGCAAAGGACATTAAGCATTGCTCTACTTTACTGCATACATAAGATGGGCCTACAAAAAGTCTCTAGACTACACATATTCACCTTTATATTAAGTTGCTAGGTGAGGCTTTTTGGTCCTTTTCGAACATTTCTTCTTTTAGATGCATAATCTTTGCTGTTCATGACATGCATCAAGATAGTTGGCCCTTTCGAACATTTGTGCTTTGAGTTGCATAATCTTTGCAGTTCATGATATGCATCATTTAGTTCTGCGTGAACCATAATTCATATTAAATCCTGGAATGGATCATTAGCTATTATAAGCCATAGTTGCATGCGAAACTATTCAGTTGTAATTTATGAAGAGCTATACAGACAGATTGCCAGTCAACAGCTGCTGTTATTTTAATTCAAATGTTTTGACTTGTGATACTATGATATACTCCCTCCTTTTCCTTTTGTTTGCCCCGTTGGGGATACAATCACTTTTTTTTTATTTTTTTGTTTTGGAGGCATTGATGAGAGAGGTGGTGGGGACCAAGTTTAATTGGTGTGAGATTAAAGTTCTGGTCACTCCAAAAGTATCATGGAGCAAACTTAGAGAGACGGACTACTAAGGGATTTGGGGCAAACATTTAGGGACGGAGGGAGTATTTGATATTTCAAGTCATTGCCTAGTTAAATAGCCTAATATTTATAGTAGAGCACCAGGATGCACGTCCCATAATCCTACCTCTGTTGTGTGTGTAGCTTGCTGACTGTTTTAATATTTTAATACCAGGATAGAAGTCAACTCATATTACTAGAAAACAGAAATCATGAGGTTTCACTCTTGGTTACAAATGCAGCCTAGTATACTTGAACTTACCTATAACGCAATTTATAGAAATGATTTTATAATGCTGCTAACTAAATGGGTCAAGTAGTGATTTGGTATGAAGGCATGTATCCTATACACACATTTCACAAATAATTATTCTTGAGGATTTTTCTATAAAGTCTTGTTCAGCTTCTTGAAGTCAGATAGATTTGGCAAGGACTGTAGTATGGGACGAATGAGTATTTTGGCTTTCTGTCACTGTAGTACTTTGATTCTTAACAAACCCTAAAACTGGCCTTCCTACCCATATATCCCGTTTCAGGTTCTGAAAACTAATATTAAGATTTAATACTGCTCCTCTAACTGTTTCTTCCTGTAAGCTCAGTATAAAAGTCGGGCAGTTATGTTTTTTTGTTTCATCATGGGACATTTTCTGAGTTGTTCCACTCAAAGGTCTCTATATGTGTCAGGGAGTTGTTTAATTGTGACATCTCGATTGATCTGTATATGATATTTTCTTTCGCCCCTAGATCTTTTAATATTTTCATTTGAATCGAGCTTTGTTACTTAGATGACTAGGGAAGAAATTTAGCATCTGATTGAGTTATGCCTTGGATGGCGTTTACTACTTTTTCAATCTGTAAAGATACTGAAGGTATAAAAAAAAAATAACTGAAATTTATAAACATCTTGCTTGAGGCCTGATGTTTCAGTGTGCTTTTTGATATAGATCATATTGCCTTGCCAATTAGTTCCTTGCTTGATTGACTTCTTTATTTTTTCAACTGTTGACCTATGTTATTTGGGCTTGAACACTCCTGAGTCTTTAAATGTCCAAGTGGCATGCTTGGCTTTATATATAAATTCATCATTTATATAAGCTGATGTGACGTGTCCATGTTGGTGTGTCAAGTATCTACCACAGATATTTGAAGTAAATTCCGAGCAAGGTAGCTGTTGTCCTCTTTACTCTTAGGTCCACCTTTATCTAAAATCTAATTATCTAGTACAATTAATGTTAAATGTTAATATTTGTAGACACAGTCAATGTACCCAAGTGTTAGCTACTTTGTGATGTGTAGTCATAGTGGTCTAATTGGAAGAGAATAGTTTCAGACTTGAAGAAATCCTAGGGTTGTGTAGCTCTATATTTACTTTATTATCTGAATCATTTCTTTTCAATCTGATAGAATCACAATTGATGAGCATTGTCATGCCTTCTCCAGACTAGGATGAAGGATTTACAAACTTATTGTATATACTAGCCAGCAGCTATCCTATGTTGCACTAAAGATTTGGTTCTCGTTATTTTTATTAGCCCTTTACTGAAAGGCAGTCAAGAAATTTTGGTTTCATAGATACTTGGTATGATTCTTTTATGCTAACTATGAATAGCATTTCTTTGGGTTTTTATTTAATGCAGAGGCAAAGTATCAACTTTCAAGTTTCAAATTCAAGCAATGTCAACTCGTCAAGAGTAGAAGTTTCGCTATGAGAAGTAGAGAACATGGTTATATAGGAAATTATTGATACATAGACTTTTTTTAAGGATCTTCAAGCTTTCCCTGATAGAATATTTTAAATTCAATGTACTACATAAACTGTTCGGTGTCTATTATAGTGCTTTTGTTGATAGTCCGGTTAATATCAGAGCGTTGTCCCAACGCTCTGGTTTTTGGTCCTGCACATGGAAGTGCATTTTGTTTGTTCTGTTTTTGGGCATTTGATGTATGGTTTAAAGAAAAGAGTCTGCTTTTGATACGCAAGATTACTTGCTCTAGGTTGATCAGCACTCTAGCTTTCTCTGTAATTTTAGTCATGCTGTTAAACTTTGCTGTAAATGCATATTCTGTTCAATAATCAGATTTATGGCAATACATCCTTCAATAGCTGCCATTTAAGACATTTCATATATTTGTGGAAGCAGGCTTTTAATGTAGCCAAATGAACTTGTTTTGGGGAAGACTGATTTAGAATTTGACTTCTCTCTTCCCCTTTCTCTCTGCCCCCTCTATCATCCCTCTGTTATACTGCTATTGCCGTTATGATTCATCCTTCAGTGTTACTTTTTCTACTGCTAGGTAGATTGATTGCCTTTATCAGCTGGCTTATGTTTTTCAACCTAGTGTCACGTTCAACAAGGAACCTGTGAGGATGAGGATCTTTTTTAGATTGACATCTGCAGACTATTCTTAGTTTCAAAAAGGCGATAACTTTTTCCTGGAAATTTAGAACCAATATGTGAAATATTATTTCCTAAGGAGGATGTATCTATTTGTTCTTAGGATTTTTAATGTGACTAGAGAGTTTTCAGACATTGGTAGATGCCTATTGCCTAGATGGTGGTGTGGTATTTTTCGTGAGATCATGAGTATTAAGGTGAGGGGATTGAGTTGTCTATTTTGCGAGTCGTTTGGGACCATCGTCTTTTGTAGGATACATACAGCCATACAGGTTTCTTCATTTTCTATGTGGTATCTTCCATATTGCAATTTCAGGCTTCCTCTCTCGTCATCAAGTTCTTTGGTTTGATACTCATACCAAGTATATAAAAGCATACAGTTGTTGATTATGTATAACTTTAGGTTCAGCAGGTATCATAAAATTAAATTCTTGCTCTTGAACAAAAGATTCAATGCACTAAACTTGATAAAATATGCATTTGCACAGAAGGATATTTTTTATTCAATGTTAAAAATCAATGGAGTAATCACAAATCATAAACATTAACGAAACTTTACAAGGCAGCAAAATCAAACGACTTCAGAATCTCTCTTTCCCACTCTTCATGGACAAATCTTTCAGGGAGATGGTCCGTGAACTGCTGCAATATATAAGAGCTGTGTGACGGAGAGGATTATGCTGAATGCTTCCATTGCAACCAGTCGGGCATTCCTGTACTGAAGCTCGATCTCCTTGCACCCGAAGCTGCAAAATAAATAAATAAACACATAATTATAAAGAATTATTTGAATCCCCTGTTTTTCGGATGTTGTGACAATTTCTACCCAAAAGGTTATAAGAATGAAAATAGCTTTACCCCATAGCCAAGAGAGTTAGAGTCCATGCAATGGTAGCAACTGTTACAGTAGCTGGTGAGCTCTCACGGCTCCATGACCGTAGGTTAAGGAAGCCTGAGATGCATGAGGCAGCACCTACAACTCCAGCTATTAAAGCAAATGTCACGAAAAATCCGGTGGCCGCGTTTCCCATGGGGAAGTAAATGGGTGAAAAATGTGCAGGGAGCTCCAATCCTGGACCTGTTATTTGAAAATCACATTACTAACATAGTGCTACAAACATAAACTCTTCTTTTTGTAATTTGCATGTAATTTACTGACATAAATTTTTTTATTCTCTTTTTAATACTGTTAAATTTCCTGAAGATGTGCCTGTATGAGAGCATAAAACAGGAACTGGTGTTCTGAGCAAGTATTAAGAGCATTTTATAGAGGAGTATCAGAAATTATACCGATAATAAAACCATGATCAATTGCACGATTCATAGCCCAACCACCAATACCCAAGAGCACGACATACATGCAGAAGTTGAGGGCCAAAAGCAAAGAGGCAGCAGGTTTCACTGATGTGTTGGCCATTTCTTCAACAAGTTATTGATGAAAAAGAACTAACAGATTTTGGTATCTGGAAAAAGCTGTTAGCAGAAGAAAGTTTATTTCAGAAGAAGCTCTGAAAGGCGGTATCAGAGATTAAGGCAGGCTGATGAGTGTTGCAGGTTGTGGCAGAGGCATAGACACCTTATATATGGTCTTAGAATTGGTATGCTTTGGTTCCTTGCTTGCTAGGAGGCTTCTTTGTGGGGTTGTAAAGGGTATGCCTTAAACTCTAGGCAAAGCAGAAGACGTGATTCTTAGTTTCAGACTTGGCCAAAAGAGTTAGAAAATTAGTTTTTTTTGGATTGCATATTCAAAGAACTTTGTGTAGTTTGTTCTTCTGATGAGTAAAAGTAATATTCTTTGCCATCCAAAAGGATGTTGATAATCTTGATACCTCAAGGGCATTGGAAACCATAACATGAAGCAACACCTTAAAGATCATGGAACTCCAAGTCCCTGATGAATTGATTTGGGTTGTCCTCTGTATTCAATTATGCCGTCTAATATCTATATTATAATTGCACAGTCTCTTTTAACCACGTTGTCGGCATAATAAAAATATTACATTAACTACACTGATTTGCACGTGATTTTGTTATTCGTTCCTAAATTAATACTAAATTAGGAAAGATATTAAGGCCTATGCTCCCTCTGTTTTTGTTAATTTAGGGCACATCTTGTAATTTTGAAAAAGAATGGACACATCTTAGAAACTGAACAATCACGAGGATATAGTTTAAAAAAATCCTAAAAGTTTTCTACATTTGGTGAGGCTCAAACTCGAGGACTTCCTTTAAGTCACATCAAGCTGCTTACTAATTGAGTCAACTCTTCTTGGTCTATCAACCTAATTCAAATTGGCATAACTTGGTCCATCTTGGTTAACTCGTGAAGATGAATCATAATCCAAGAATTGTATATATTAGTCAAAATTCCAACCCACACATACCAACGAATAAACACATAATCAATTTTTAACACAAAAGTAAGTGTTACGACTTGATAGTTTAAGGGGATCAAGGGTTTTCAAATTGTGAAAAAGGGATTTTCCTACCTTTACTTTAATGTAGGGGTATTCTCTAATATGCTCGGGAGTATAACATTATTTATCTTACAAATACAATGGAGAAATATTAAAGGATTTAATGTTAAATTGATAAAAATGAGTTTTATATATGCTACTACTTTCATAATGATGCTTTATCAACTGTTGTATACTGCAATAAACACTTTTAACAACGTTTGTTGATAATCCTTTTGTTCTATGATCGTGGACTTGGCTCGTTGTGGAGGTAATTGTTGAACTTGTCGATGTTCTAATTTGAATCACGATAAGCTTCAAGGCATATATCTTACTCAAGGCATATATCTTACTCAAGACATCTCTAGGATGCAATCAATCAACAATAATAATTATATACTAAAAGACATACCAACAATGACACATGTCAGTTTTTTGTGTGTCCTTAGTTTTTTTTAAAAAAAAAATTAAAAAAAGAAATTATTTGTTTTTTTTTTTGGGGGAAATTATTTGTAAAGTTCAATTACTATATATATGAGCAATGATATTTACATTTTGTAATATTGACATTCAATCAACTAATACGGAAAATATAATCACAAAAAATAATCTTTGAAAAATATTTTTGAAAAAAAATACAATCTTATACTATATGTGTGGCAAACATAATATCTGCTTCAAGAATACAATTAAGATAAGCAAAAATTAATGACTAAAACAAGACATTACAATATATGATCACTGAATAGGTATAGATTTTCGTCAAACTCACATCCTTTCCCTTTTATAATTCTTCTTTTATGGTTTTTTAGGATTTATTTAATTTAATTTTTTATTCCTATGATAAATTTTAATATTTTTTTTTTTTGAGAAACTTTAATCTTTATCTTTCTATATTCAGCTAATTTAGATTTTCTTTTATGGTTGAAACTTGAAAGTTGAAACATTAGAATGTCAATTAAGCATGATATTCCATGTTTCATTATGTCAAGTACTTCATTTTGAATAAGTCTGTATATGACGGGTGTACATTAATTTTATTGTAAAACGGTCAGTTTGAGTGCAACTTTAACTATTTTTATGGTAACTTTAACTACTTAAAGGATAACTTTTAATTCGTCATTGGTTTGAATTGTATTTTAATGTGTAATTTCTTATAGATACGTGATTACATACTTTTTTTTTTTTTTTGAAACAATACGTGATTACATACTATAAAGACTAATATGATTAATCTAATATATTATAAGTTTTTTGCAAGATAAAATTTATTAATAGAAAAATAATAACTTTTGCATTATAAAGGGTAACTTTAAATACTTTTAACATAACTTTAACCCGTTTTACAATAAATTAAAGTACACCCGCCTTTTTGGAGAATTTGTGCTTCGTTTTTGTCTATGATAAAATTTGACAATTTATATACTACGTATTGTATTCAATCAATTAAATGTAATATTAAATTGATAATAAATAATATACTTCGTATAACATACTTTTTATTATTCCTCGACTAATTTATGATAATAATACTTAACAAACAATAATATATATTGTATACTTCGTATAACTATCGATCACCGTGCCATATAAACAAATTATATGAACAAATTAAATTATATGAACAAACGAATATTAATATAGATATGTCTTGCTAAATTGATTTGAACATCTTCTAGTTTCCTCTTTTGATTGCTCCATGAATGGCTCCAATGTACATTAGCATTGTCCCGCTAAGGATGATGATGAATGCCTCCAATGTTTTCTGCATTACGGGTACCAAACTTTAATGAGGAAATCACGGTTAAATTGTATAAATACAAGGAGTTGTTTAAGGTAAAAGAAGGGTGTAGAGAAAGAAATGAAAGTATTGTAAGATGAAAGAGTTACCAGGCGATGACTATCGGTGTGTAGCCTAATATGTTTGGAAGCAAAGCTGCACAAGAAAGAATGTCACGTTCATGTTAGTTTATTTGCAAACTCTATTGACTATTACTTTAGACTTTCTTGCCTATAGTATGCATAATAAATTAATTCTTAACCGGAAATTAATAAGATAAAGATCAGATTTTGTTTAAGTAGTGTTACTCTGATTTTAGGTCACTTTCAAGTGATTAGAAATTGATTTCGTTGTGATTAAAAATTAGTGTTAGTTAGCAAATACATTCGGATTAATTACATTCTTTAGAAAGAATCCTTTTATTCAATAAAGATGGCACAACCAACATAGGTACATGAAAGGCACAACACAGTACGCTACTATACTTGTGAGTCTTTTTAAGTACAACATAGCCTAACATGACAAAACACGCTAAATTAAGTTTAATTTGACTCTCTTAAATACTACGGAGTACACAACACGGTAACACATGAACTTGAACTGTGACTAGGCCGCCTTCTAGAAACAAGTAGTGATCTTTGAGCCTAGTCAAGCCCAAGACATGTCCTATGAGGCTATAACCATCTTTAGGAACATATGACAAAATACTTATTTATCAACAACAATTAGCTTTGACTAGTAACTAAATTTAGTAGTTTTAAATTACAAAAACAGAGCATTTACCCCAACGCAAGCACAGTAAGGCTCCAAGCGACGGAGGCGGCGGCGGCAGCGGCTGGCAAGCTATCATGACCCCAATATGTAACATGGTTTAGTCCATACAAGCATGAGACTGCCCCAACTGCTCCCGCTATTAGCGAGTATGTTATGAAAAAAAATGTTGCCCCATTTTGTCCTTGAACTGCCAATAACACAAAGTATTACCCCATGTTAGCAAATAAAGTTCATTGTTACACCACAAATTTTAAAACTCTATACTCTTTTCGCCTATAATTAATAACCGCGATGTCTCAACTCTCATGACCTTACTCTAGATGAGTAAAAGAAATTAAATTACTCGTGTATGACAACTTTTTTCGGACATCTTAGAAAAGAACTCCTTTAATTTGAATATACTATGCATAATAGTTTATATAGTAGTATGGTAACTTACCACCTCCATGATCTATTATGCGGTTCATAGACCAACCACTTATTCCCAAAACAACTACATACATGCAGAAGTTAAGGAACAACAAGAAGGATGCTGCTGGTCTCATCTGCTTGTACGCCATTTTGTAACTATTTCAACCCTACAAAAAAAAAAAAAAAAAACCTAACAAAGATAACATAAATTCTTTAGCAAAATATATAATACGACTACTCCCGTCTCTAAAAGTTCTTCATATTTGAACAATATCTGTCTCTCAAAAAAAAAAAAAAAAAAAAAAAGTTTGAGATAGGACAGAGTAACTAATGATACAAATTAATTGTATTTATCCATCGCTTACCTGAAAGTATCTGTTATGGGTTGCAACAAGCTTTGGTTATATGGGAGTAAGTAAGATTATGTTGTCTTGGCTATTTGTGAAATGTGGGAGTCTAACTATATATAAAGGGAAGTATTTAGATTAAAGAAAAAGATATACAAGTATAGTATATGCTTTATAAAAATGCTTGTTAGTTTTTTTAATGATCATATTAGATCATCCTAGAAGCAATTAGGTGATTGGTAGCTAAAGAAACTATGGCCAATTTGTAATTTGCTAATGTTTTTCATTTTTAAATTTAATTTCAACTTTCTAGAACTGTTTTTTGACCAAAGTATGATAAGCATTGCCAACGTGGATGTAGAGGTAATTAGGTGTCAAGTTTTCTGCTAAATTGCCAAATATTTGTCCTTAATAAACTTCAATCAAAGCATAAATTATGAGTATCATTTTGTGTGAATTGACTAATTGGGTTATTGGGTATAGTGTAAGAATGGATGCCTCTTTATTGGATACTCTTTTTGCTCGAAAATAATAAGCTAAATTATTCCAATTGTTTAGGTAATACGAGTACTCCGTACTATAATAATAATAATAATAATAATAATAATAATAATAATAATAATAATAATTACTCACTTTCTTTCACGAATTTTTTTTGAGAGATCATAAGAAATTAAAGCAAGAAAAAAAAAATGGACACTTAGAAGTTATATATTGCAAGATTTATGAAACAAAAGATACACTTATGACTTATGTTTGAAACTTTGGCCTTAAATATATCAATAACTTATGCAAAGGAATAATCTGAAATCTATAAAACTCTCTTTGATACTAAAATTTCAACTAGTACGGAGTATGAGTAAAAGACTAAGAGCTATGTATAAGGGCATGAGTAGTGTCTAAGTAGAATTGAACAAAGTAATTGTATATTGATTTTTTGTATGGTACCGAAAGTTAAAAATACCTAAAGATCTCTAAAAGATTGGTTTGAGGACTCCAATCATATCTTGGAGCGATATTGTTATTGTATAAGATATAAATTATTGAATAACTGGGGAAAATAAGTAGGCACGTCAATATATTATAGTAATCAAATTCTTCAGTTTTATTAAATGTATAATAGACATAAACTAACCGCGATTATTTTTGTTATTGTATTTCTTTTTCCACCATTCCTTATCCGCCCAAAGAAGTGTAGAACAGCTTTTTGTGGCAATGATTTCTTAAAGATTGGAACGTTTTTCCAATTTGAGCTCTAAACGTAAACTAATGACAAAAATGGTTGCGTGGCAAAACTATTTACCAAACTAAGCTTCCAGGGTAAATCGCTGTCTCGGACAGCGTTTTACCCCTGGTTTTTTTTTTAAAAAAAAATTCAACTACAACTATTTTATATGTTCAACATAAAGCGCTGTCTCAGACAGCGCTTTATGCTTGAACATAAAACGCTGTCTCAGACAGCGCTTTTCTGCTGGAAACAGCAACCAGCATCCAGGCAGAAAACAAGCTTCAGCAAACAGCTTGCATGCTGCAGTCCTCCAACAGCCACCACAACAGCCAGCTCCACAGCCCTACCCCACCACCGTCGACCACCAACTCCGCCACTCCCCACCACGTACCACCACCATATTCTGGGAGTTCCGTCAACTTTAAGCACTGCAGAAAACTCGAAACAGCCCAACAACAGTCCAACCACCAAATTAACTTCAAAGCACACACGGAGTCATTCAAAAAAGATTTATTATATTAATTTCATAAGTGTTATGTACATCATTACACAAAATAACAGGGAATACAACAGATAATACTAGCCCGACTCATTTATTCGGGGTAAAGGTCCTGCCTCCTGAGTGTCGGCCCTCCGTCTGACACGTCGCCGCCTGTAATGAGTGACGGTGGTGAATGGGTCTCGGGGCGGTGGGGGAGTCAGCTGACTGGACGAGGGGTCCTCCTGGGTACCAGAGGGCGCAGTACTGTGGATGTTGTAATCCTCTGCGTGTCTGGGTGACGTAGGATCACATCCACCGCTGCTCTGGCCGAGATCGAACTGTGAGTTGCCATCATGACCGTCCCGCCGGTGGGCGAGATGAGCGTGACCATATCTCCGTAAGGTAGCGACGCCCATATCTCGCACCTGCTCGACCTGGGCTCTAGTGGGTCCGCACTCAAGGGAGACTGATAGCGCATCAACCATCGCCACCATATCCGCCGCCTGCAGTAATCATCGATCAGTCAGATCTATGGCATACAAATATGGAAATTGTTGAAAAGGAGTAGAAAAATAATAACTCACATATCCGCTAATGATGTCATATGCTGGATGGTAATGTGTGGATGGTGGTGCGTAGCTGGGGTTGATGAAGCGTCGTGTGATACGCCTGTACCACACCATGTACGGATCGTCGGGATCCATAGCCCCCTGCATTAGATCACCTCCAACGATGAACTCCAACCGTTGCTCCCATAGCTGAAGGAAACGCCAATGCTCCAGCGCCCAGCTGGTCTCCCCCTTTCCCCGACGATCAATGCCGTGAAGCTGTACACTAGTGTCACACCCCTGTGGGATAGTCTGGCGTAGTCCAAACTGCCTCATGACTCGGTCGGGCAGGTGACTCTCCACAACCTCGAAACAGATCAGGGGGACCCTAGCACGCCACTCCGCCTGATGGTCTAGCAGATGTGGAGGCATGGCATCTACCAAGTCAGGTACATACGGGTCCCATGTCACCTGTAAATACACATCAACAGTAATATTATGAATATGTTAGTTCGCAACAAGTACAATGTTAAAACAAAAAAGCTAAAACTGTATTTTAAATTGTTACCTGGTCCTCGGTGAGTCGGTCTAGGGCGTCTCGGTAATACGGAAGACCCCTCGCCGCATGAGCATGTGTCAGCCTGGGTACCACCCACCTAATATCGAACAATGTTTCAGTTAACAACCCCGCGCATTAAATAAAGCCTAACTCAATGAAAGTTGTATCGAACCTGCAACCATATGCCTCATCCGGTGTAGGGAGCGGGGGAGCATCGTACGCCTGGTACTGGTCGTCCTGGTCCTGCTCCCCCGACGGTGTATCGCAGGTCTGCCTGGTCTGCCTACATGGATATGCTCCCAAGCCCAGAACTGGCACACAGAGACACAAAACTAGCTTCAGTATGAAATATGTAAGTGCGTGGTGAAATAGTTTTTTTGGTACAGAAATAAGTGAGGTACCTGGAGGACAATCAGGGGACCTCCAATCTCGTTAGCACCTACGTGGGATGCTCTGCACAGCTGGCGATACAACGTCGCCAGACAGGCACTACCCCAGCTGTAGCCTCGGATATGATCCCAGTCGTGGTCCAACAGCTGCACGTAAATGAGCTGGAGATGGCTCCCGCTCTTATTCCCGAACAACACGCCCGAGATGAGGAAGAACAAGTACGCCCGGGCGTATCTCTGAACCTGGGCGTCATCAGCCCCTGGTGGTAGCTCACGGAAAGTCTCACGGACCCAGCCGGTCCTCAACCCGGATCCTCTAATATCGGCGGGACCTGGCTGGACACCAAGTACCCGACCAACCAAACCGACGGGATCGACTAACGCGTGTCCTGTCACCGCAGACCCATGTACTGGAAGGCGCGTAAGAATCGCCACGTCCCGTAACGTAACGGTCGTCTCACCAACAGGTAGGTGGAAGGAGTGCGTCTCCTGTCTCCACCTCTCCGCGAGCGCAGTGACAAGCGCTCGATCGATCTCCCTATACGCCATACGGTGAAAACCACCTAAACCGACAAACTCGACGTACGCCAAAACGCGAGGATCGATTCCCCACCCCACCATGAACCTGGTGGTGTAATGCCTGCAAACGAGCTGCTTTGCCGGATCAACCTGTTAGAAAGAAATTAAGATCATACACCATATAAACTCAACAAGCTGTAGTCCATGAACAAACAAATGCAATATTACCGTCTGATCCCATACGGCAACGCTGCGGTGTGTGCCCTGTAGTGTAAGCACAGAAGGGTCAACGGGTCCAGGCGTACGATCTTCACCGTCCATCGTATCTGTTCACATGCAATTTAACAAATCCCAACAGAGTTAACGCATTAGCAATTAACCAAAATGTTAACGATCAAATGTTCCAAATGTTATTAAATCAAAATGTTCCAAATGTTATTAAATCAAAATTACATTTTGTGACGCCATATTCTACATAACCAAAACACATTTTAGGATTATCGAAATCTAGAGCGAGGTAAATTATCAACACTGAAATAAGACTCTTCTCACCTATAACAACTTCACTTTCAACAACTTCACCAATTTCAACAATTTCATGAACAATTTGAATTATTTCAACAATTTCAACCTAAACTATTTCAATAATTTCAACAATTTCATCTCTTCTCACCAATTTCAACCATTAACAACTTCAACATTTTCACCATCATCAACTTCACCAATGTCATGAACAATTTCAATAACAATGTACCACATCACCATCAATAATTATCAACAATGTACCACATTTTCATTAATAATTAGCAACAATTACATGCAATTGACATGAATTAACAACAAGTAAGAGCAATTACATACAATTCACAATAATTAACCACAATAACTATGCAATTACACTAAATTCAGTTTAGGGCTAACCACGAAATTGAGTGAGTGAGTGTGAGAGGGAGGAGGGCAGCAGCAAGGTGGCGGCAGCAGCGGTGGCGCAAGGGTGGGCGGCGGCGGCAATGCGGGTGTTTGAGTACGGTCGTGGTTTAGTGTGAGAGGGAGGAGGGAAAGCGTTGAGGTTGAGGTTGAGTTCTTGCGCATTCTGCTGAAGTGAACATGCTGATATATGGCCATGAAACGCTGTCCCGGACAGCGTTTCATTTAAAAAAAAAAAACAGGGCATAAAACGCTGTCTCGGACAGCGTTTTACCCATTGAATTTTTTTTTAAAAAAACCCAAGGATAAAACGCTGTCCGAGACAGCGTTTTATGCCCTACTGAATTTAAAAAAATACAGAAGGTAAAACGCTGTCTGGGACAGCGTTTACCAGTTGAATTTTTTTTAAAAAAAAAACCAGGGGTAAAACGCTGTCCGAGACAGCGATTTACCCTGGAAGCTTAGTTTGGTACATAGTTTTGCCACGCAACCATTTTTGTCAATAGTTTACGTTTAGAGCTCAAATTGGAAAAACGTTCTAAAGATTGCCCTTCTTGAAGAGAAATCAATCAACTTAGAAATAACACGTTATAGATTAGGTTTATTGAATATAATCACATACGACAACAAGCTAAGGTCTTTTTTTGGGTTGGGTTAAATGACGAAAAGGCCCATAGAATTGTGTACAATTTACTTCTACATGAGCTAAGTTACATTGCATATTGTAGTTGTTGGCTACTTAAAGGTCAAGTTCGTTACAAAATCATAGTTTTATTTTGTTTCTTCTTATCTGGTCTCTTACCAATGGAAACAACTGTCCAAAGTTGTTTAAATCAACAAGTAATCAATTTAAGCAATATTAGATGGGTTTAGAACTTTAGATTATAATATTCATGACCAATATTTATGTAGCATGTGGCAAAAACTACTAAGATTGGGGTTGTATGATGAAAAGGATTGACATTGGACAAGAAGAGCACTTAGCTTTCGTAAGTACATAGTCACGGATGTGCCGTTTAAGCAATTGAACAAACCAACATTTGCTTTGGGAAAGAGAAATATAGTACTTTGAATGTCTGATTGTCCGTCTTAAATTAATTGTCACATTTTTCTATTTAATCTGTTTCAAATTAATTATAATTTTATTATTTTCAATAATATTTTATATCTTCCTATTCTATCAAGGTGAACTTAATTATTTTATTTCTGTTTTTTGTTCTTCTTGTAATCTGTGTCAAAATGGTTTGACAATATTTTACTACATTTCCATCTTTAAAAATTCCACATCTCTTTACGACTTCTTAATTTCCTATTTAATATGATTTTTTATGATTTAATTTAACTCTCTTACTTCATACACATACACAAACACACACATACACATACACAATTTAATTTAACTCTCAATATTTGAGATAGCGTTCTAAACATCTATCATTTTAACATGGGTCTCGTTTAGCCTTCAACCTATCTCAATGTTTGAAATGATGTTCTATACATCTCTCATTTTAACATGTGGCTCGTTTAGCCCTCAAACTATCTCAATGTTTGAGATAGCGTTCTATTTATTTCTCGTTTTTAACATGGGATTCGATTATCTCCCAACCAATCTCAATGTTAGAGATAGCGTTTTATTCATTTCTCATTTTAACATGGGGATCAGTTAGCTCTCAACCTATATGTTTGAGATATCATTCTTTTCATTTCTCATTTTAACATGGGGCTCGTTTAGCCTTCAACCTATCTCAACGGTCTGCATAGCCAGCAAATCATTCTTAACACAATTCTCCTTATACTTCGTCTTCACCATAAACCACGAGTACTCCAAGCCGATGGCAAATAAAGCCCTCGTCATCTTGTTAACAACATCGTTTAGCATAGCCCGCATCCGAAGGATTGAACTCCAATCTCATTTTTTATTAATTTCATAAGCATGGGTTAGCTTCCAGCCTGTTATGACTTCTTCTTGGGTGAGCATGTTACTACTAACAGATCGCTCTCATGTTCATGAGCCTCGACCAACTCCTCCGTTGCCACCAGATTTTTAAGGAACAAGCCCTCGTCACGATAGGGCACCTCGCTGGACCTTGAGCAAGTCGTCAGCACAGCGAGACCTGCCCTCGGGCCTCGGCCAATAAAGGCAGCACTTTGGTCTGGTGGGCTAGGCCCTCCGACAGTTGAGGTATACCTCTCGATCGGGGCACGCTATAGTCATTCGCCAACAAAGACATCCCCACATCCTGGCGCTCAGGGTCGTCTTAACCATTTTTGGGCCCTTTGCTAATTTAAATATGGGCCCTTCGAATTTCAATATCTTAACTCAACCATTTTTCTTTCTCTTATTCTCAAGCTTTTTTAAAAAAATAATAAAACTCAAGGTTTATTTATTTAATTATATATTTTTACTCTTTAAAAAAAATAACCATGATACAATACTTCAATCATTAAAAACAATCTATTAGAAAAAAAAAATAGGACCAAAAACTTAGTGATAGATGTCTAAAGCAACAGAGTTTCAATTAAAAATAAAAAAACTATTTATTACATACTACTTTTACCAAATTTGAACCTTACAATGAAGATACATCACTAATTATTCTGATTTTTAATGCAAAATTGCAACCTTGCACATAGATGATTATATAAACCTCCAAAAATAAAAGCCATAGATAAAGTTTGCTTTTTTTTTAAAAAAAAAATCCTTATAGGAATTGATCATGCGACCAAGTTACCTTAAGAATACTCGAAGAATTTGGGTTCAACCACTACAACATTCACCATATATTATAGATATATTGCAGGATATTATATATACACATAATAAGACTGGAGACCCTTTTAATTTTGGGGCCTGTGCTAAGGCCCATCTTGCACACCCTCTTCTACGGCCCTACTGGCGCTAGGCCCTTGACGGTTAAGGCCTTCCCCTCGGCCAGCGGATATGTTGTCGCCCCACCTAGGGCAAGCATAAGGCACGCTGTTGACCATTTGCCAACGAAGACATCTCCACGGCTTGGGGTCTAGGCCCTCGACAGTCGAGGCCTATCCCTCGCCCAGCTAGGTATGACGTCAACTCAACGCCAATAAAAGCACCACCTCAGCATGGGGCCAAGGAATGTTGTCAACCATTCGCCAACGAAGATATCCTCACGACATGGGAGCTAAGCCCTCGACAATTAAGGCCTACCCCTTAGCTAGCAAGGTATGCCATGTGCGCATCGCCAACAAAATTAAAGTACCCCCTCAGCTTGAGGGCAAGGCCCTCGACGGTTGAGGCCTACCCCTAGCCAAAGGGAAATACTATTGGCACCTACGACATGCCTACCTTATAACAATTTCCAAAAAAAAAAAAAACTAAAAGGGGGAAAAAAGAAAAAAAAAAGGTAAGACAAGCCTACTTCTCATATGGCAATCTCTCATCCCTATACAAGCCTATCTTTCAGATGGCAGGTTGTCATTCCTTGACAAACCTATCCCACATATGGCAAGCTATCATCTTTTAACAGGCTTACTTCTCATCCCTTGAGAAGACTGTAACACCCCCAAATCTCCCTCTGCGGAATATGTAGAAAAATACGTATAAATACCGTAGAGATAGACTTGGGCGTATTACCGCCGCGTGAAAACGCAAGGCTTATACTTCAAAATACTTTTGCAGCGGAAATACTTTATTCTTTAATAATATTTCAAAATAAAATTGTTCATTATTCATGACACAAAAACAAAGTCAAACTTTTCCTTAAGCTAGGTGAAATTCCCGTGGACTCCCATATGCATCAATCAACTTCCACCTGAAAAGTTCACCTGCTTACCATAAATGGTAAACAGGGCAAAGCCAAAACAAAAGCACGTATTAGCAAATTATGCTAAGTAGATTGTGTGTAAGATAAGTAAAACATCAATTAAATCATTTAAGTTTAATTTCAATGATTTCAACACAATCTTCCCAATATCATACTCATATAAGAACTTTTACAATTCAAATCTTTCAAGACAAATTTAAAACTCAATCGATTACATTTCAAAACCAATTCCTCACTAAGTGTGCACACCCCCCAAGTGGTTTACTTTATGAACAAAGGCCAATCTTGAGGAAAGACTAG